AGTAAAAATGTTCTACGCCCCTAAAAACCCCTTCCAAACCCTAATCCTAACCTTAATATTAACTTTAGCGTGAAAAAATTGATGTTAAAAATTTCGGGTTTACTAAAATGCACCATAGGTGTTGAACAGATTTAGATAGTCACCAGTTTCACCAACAACTCTAGTAGGTATTGAATCAACAACACAGCACAGCATTTAGTGTAGGCTTAGATAATTACTCTATATAGTGAATTATAAATATGTAGGTTAATTGGACGAATAATTCATTTATAAATTAACTATGAACTACACAACTGATAAGAAATCATGCACTTCTCGAATTTCGAAGGAAACTTGGTTGAACATATTATTTATGATTCAAAGGTTTATTTTTGGACGTGAAAAACTTTCACTTTTATAATTATTGTATACATTTCCAATATAACTATTAAACCTATCCTATAACAATCTTGCTTAGTCGCTAAATCATTCTTAATAATTTAGATTTAATAAATTTAACTGATTTTTGAATCTGATACTATTGACCGAAAATGGGACATGTGCTTGGATTTTAATTATTGTCCAAATGAAATAGAAAATCCCGATTCCAACCCAACCTACAGCAGTAACCCTCACCGAGACTGATCAGAACGGGCTGATTCATTACTAGAATTACTAGATAATTCCAATTCAATACGTTCCTTAGCTCGAACAACTTTTGACTGTATATAAAAAGATCCTCCGACAGAAGTATCGTTTGATTTGAATAAATGATCGTAATTCTTGAAATTTATAGTGAATGTTAAGTATTTTTACACTAACAAAGACATATAAGTACAAATTGTTTATAAGTACCTTTGTAACTTGCGCAGGATCTAAAGTATCTTTCTTAATATTTAAGATCTGACAAGCTTCTTCCAATGTCATCCCCGTCTGTCTCGTCAAAGCGTCAGCTCCTCTAAAGCTCGAACCTCCATTTCTTCCGGCATCTAATTACAAATATTAATAAATATATTATTGTACAATTACTTATATCACTTTTTGAAAAAAAAACGAACTTGCAGAAGCTTGTTTGAAGGCTTCAATAAAAGCTTTTCCTACGATTTGGGTGCCTACAAGAATAATCTGCGCTATTACTCTCCCTGACTATTGTAAATTTTAAAGTTTGTAAGCCAGCAGAAGTAAGGATCTAACTGAAGTAGTGAAGAACCTCAAACCAACCATTTTTGCGATATAGAAGCAAATCTTACATTACCCTTTTATAATGATCAAATTCAACAAATTCAACGCGTGATATTTTTTTATCACGTGCAACGAGATGTACAAATAACTACCCCAAGAACAC